AATTTCATTATTATCTAATTTCAATAGAATCTTCGAAAAAAGTATGTACAACAGAATGAGAGACTTTATTGAAAAGCACGGCCTATTATATTCGTCTCAATATGGTTTTCGTCAAGCTCACTCAACCCAATATGCTATTCTTAATATGGGAGAAACTATACAAACCAATAAGGACAAAAAACTCTTTTCATGTGGCGTTTTTATTGACTTAAAAAAAGGCTTTGACACTGTGAATCATACTATTTTACTTGATAAAATAAATTATTATGACTTCCGTGTCAATCAATGGTTTTGCTCTTATTTATCAAATCGCAGACAAACTACTGAAATTGGCTCTCATATATCTAGTAAACTAAATATCAATTGCGGCGAACCATAATGATCTGTCCTTTTTCGCTTTACAAAGTTTTTACAGGGTCAAATCGGTCTCCCTTTTTCGATTTACAATGTTATTTCAGGGTCAAATGAGTCTCTCTTTTTCGATTTACAAGGCTATTACTGAGTCAAATTGGTCACTCTTTTTCGATTTACACGGTTATCAGTCTCCCGTTTTCGATTTTCAGTGCTTTTACAAGGTGAAATCAGTCTCCCTTTTTCGATTGTAAGTGTTTTTACATGATATCTACCAGGTCGTTGTAAACTATCTTGTTTGATTTACATGTTATTTACAGACTGTTTTGACAATATTTACGGTATATTTACATGATCTTGCTTTTTAACCTTTACATGTTACAGCTGGATTGTCTCCATTTTTTACATGTTCTGCCCCTAATATTTACACCTTATTTACAGTAACTTTTAACATCCTGTAAAAGGGCATTATCCCTGTAAAATGTCATTTACAGTGATCTGTAGTTGATTTACGTGATATTTACATGTTAGAATAGAATTTTACATGTGCATGTGAATTGAACAATTTCTCCAGTGTCACTGATGGTCTTACCACATTTTTAAATCTTTTGATCTTTTGTGATACTGAACAGACGCACGGTCACATGGAATATTTTTGTTTTATATAACTAAAAAAGCAAAAAGTTGTTGATGGGGACGTCGTCTATGCGTCTGTCCTCCCCTAGATCATAATCAAGAACCAATCAAAATGCTTGTGGAAATCAAGTTATTATATAATTTAACGTTGACAAACCCTCGCCTCCTCTAAGAGGAAAAAAAGCTGAAAACACAAAGCCATGACGGTGAGAAGGGGGTAGAGGGTGAGAGGAAATGCGAGGTTATAGCCCCATCTGCCCTGTTGTAAACGAAATTTGGTACGGAGGGGAAATGGTTGGGCTCGGTCCATTTTCTCAAAGTCTGTTGGTGACGCTTATAAACCAAAAGCTAAAATTAGCCGTTGCACTAGGAGTCCGTTAGAAGCATTGTCAAAATCATGGTTTTTACCATGCAAAAGCCAAATGTTTGCACCAGTAGGAAACTTGCCATTTTGGTGGTTTTCACCTTCGCGCCATCAAAACAAAAAATTGAAACCCTTCAAAAGACTAAGTGCAGAATCTGGGATATGAAAGGAGGTAAATACGCTTGATTTCTTCGCCAAGATTCAGGACAGTGCAATTTTTTTATGCGACATATTGGGAAAAACTGATTTGCCCAAATTTATAGAACTTTGTATGGAGACGCCATGTTGGTGCCCATCCGGATAAGCAGCCCACATAGCGGCCGGAAACTAACAAGAACATTGAGTTGTACAACAAAAGCTTGAATTGATCTCTCAAGAAACTCGTAAAGATTAAAGTAATGACATTTTCTAATACAATGACTGTTCAGATATCAAAATTCTACAAAATAAGCCACCTTTAAACCTTCAGAAAGGTTTCAACGAGGTTAACCGTCAGCCGTTAAACGGTCTAAACTTTAACTTTCTACCGTCAAAAAAGGTCTTTTTTTACCGTTAACCGTCAAAAAAAATGCAGATTAATATTAACTGTCATAGAGTTTTCATTATCTCATTATTTCAGCTGATCTTCACAGACTTCTGGCTCCTGAATAATCTCTTCACTGAAAAAACCAGTTCCCATTTTTAAAAAACACTCTCTAGACATTACAAGACCCTACAACTTGCTTATATATGAAAATATATTTCGCAACTTTAAATGTGGAAGGCCAAGACAAGCTCAAAAACAAAATTAATTTCTACAGACGTCAATATTTACTTAAACTCTTGTCATGATCTAAATTTCCACTAAATAACCGTCAGTCATCAAAAGCTCTAAAATTTAACCGTCAACCGTCAAAACTGGAAAAAATAATCGTCAATCGTCAAAGTTGCCACTCCATTCAGACCCTCCTACATGACAGATCTTTCGGCCGCCAAGTAAATGTCGCGTCGCACAAAAGCTTAGAAATTCAAACGCACTGTATCACAAAACGAAGTGCTCTTTTGGAATGAAACTTTGTGTAAATATTAGTTTTTACCTGCTTTAATACGCCATGGAAGTAAACACTCAGGATGATCGATAATTCTTTAGCTTTTGAATTTTGATGTCGTCATGTGGCAACCAAAAATACGTGAATTTGATAGGAAAAGATTTGACAAATAAGTGACAGTTATGACATCTTATTTGTTGATAACAACCAAAAAAAAAAAAAAAGAAATTGAATAAAATCCTTGGTTCAATTCTTTCTTGCTAGACTTCCCGCGTGAGCTTGATGAAGAGGAAGACGACGATGGAAATGTGGAAAATGTTGAGGAAACTTTTGGTAAGTTTGCCACAATACCTCCTGACAGTCATCGTTCGTTTTTTGGTATCAGGCGTCTTGTTCTACACAGATATCCTGATAAAGTTAATTACTTATTAGCTTGTTTATAAACTGTTTCGCGTCTCCTTGTTTGAAATTGGACTGACAAATAATGGAGCCACGCTTCTGTAGTTGTGATAGCTTGGCTTTCGTGATTATTTCCTCTGTTTTTAAACATTTTATTTTCGATCCTTGCTAATTGAAGCAATCAATTCATTCTTAAATCTCTTTTCCTCCTCAGACATGGACAATTTCGAACTGAATTCAAGGAAATTTTCCGAGCAGGAATTCCAATCGCTCGATAGAGGTGAGTTCATCAATGAGAGAAAGATTTTATAGACAGATGCTAGTAAAATTTAAAAAAAATGAAAAAAAAAAAAAAAGAACATGGCAAGGCATAAATAATTTATTAAATCTCTGCAAAAGAAAGCGTAAATCGGTTGGTAAATTAAAAGACCCAGATAACAACAATAACCTTACTAAAGATTCCTCGCGTATACCTAATATCTTAAATAAACATTTTTTAAATGTTGGCAACATCTTAGCAAGCAAATCACCACCGGTAGAGCGCCCCTTCACAGATTACCTAAGAAAGACCAGTTCGCCAGAACTTTCGTTTTTCTTCAAACCTGTAACTCCACCTGAAATTCAGTTTCAATTTTATCTATACCAAACAGCAAATCGCATGGCTTATACTCCTGTCCTGCTCAACTTCTTAAATACTCAAGCGAAGTCATTTCTTCAGTCCTTTCAGACATTCTCGATACATCTTTCTCTTGGGGTCTACCCCCCAAAACTTAAAATTTCAGAAATTATACCCTACCTTCATAGCTGTCGACGAGACCGACACTTCTAATTATAGGCCAATTTCATTATTATCTAATTTCAATAGAATCTTCGAAAAAAGTATGTACAACAGAATGAGAGACTTTATTGAAAAGCACGGCCTATTATATTCGTCTCAATATGGTTTTCGTCAAGCTCACTCAACCCAATATGCTATTCTTAATATGGGAGAAACTATACAAACCAATAAGGACAAAAAACTCTTTTCATGTGGCGTTTTTATTGACTTAAAAAAAGGCTTTGACACTGTGAATCATACTATTTTACTTGATAAAATAAATTATTATGACTTCCGTGTCAATCAATGGTTTTGCTCTTATTTATCAAATCGCAGACAAACTACTGAAATTGGCTCTCATATATCTAGTAAACTAAATATCAATTGCGGCGAACCATAATGATCTGTCCTTTTTCGCTTTACAAAGTTTTTACAGGGTCAAATCGGTCTCCCTTTTTCGATTTACAATGTTATTTCAGGGTCAAATGAGTCTCTCTTTTTCGATTTACAAGGCTATTACTGAGTCAAATTGGTCACTCTTTTTCGATTTACACGGTTATCAGTCTCCCGTTTTCGATTTTCAGTGCTTTTACAAGGTGAAATCAGTCTCCCTTTTTCGATTGTAAGTGTTTTTACATGATATCTACCAGGTCGTTGTAAACTATCTTGTTTGATTTACATGTTATTTACAGACTGTTTTGACAATATTTACGGTATATTTACATGATCTTGCTTTTTAACCTTTACATGTTACAGCTGGATTGTCTCCATTTTTTACATGTTCTGCCCCTAATATTTACACCTTATTTACAGTAACTTTTAACATCCTGTAAAAGGGCATTATCCCTGTAAAATGTCATTTACAGTGATCTGTAGTTGATTTACGTGATATTTACATGTTAGAATAGAATTTTACATGTGCATGTGAATTGAACAATTTCTCCAGTGTCACTGATGGTCTTACCACATTTTTAAATCTTTTGATCTTTTGTGATACTGAACAGACGCACGGTCACATGGAATATTTTTGTTTTATATAACTAAAAAAGCAAAAAGTTGTTGATGGGGACGTCGTCTATGCGTCTGTCCTCCCCTAGATCATAATCAAGAACCAATCAAAATGCTTGTGGAAATCAAGTTATTATATAATTTAACGTTGACAAACCCTCGCCTCCTCTAAGAGGAAAAAAAGCTGAAAACACAAAGCCATGACGGTGAGAAGGGGGTAGAGGGTGAGAGGAAATGCGAGGTTATAGCCCCATCTGCCCTGTTGTAAACGAAATTTGGTACGGAGGGGAAATGGTTGGGCTCGGTCCATTTTCTCAAAGTCTGTTGGTGACGCTTATAAACCAAAAGCTAAAATTAGCCGTTGCACTAGGAGTCCGTTAGAAGCATTGTCAAAATCATGGTTTTTACCATGCAAAAGCCAAATGTTTGCACCAGTAGGAAACTTGCCATTTTGGTGGTTTTCACCTTCGCGCCATCAAAACAAAAAATTGAAACCCTTCAAAAGACTAAGTGCAGAATCTGGGATATGAAAGGAGGTAAATACGCTTGATTTCTTCGCCAAGATTCAGGACAGTGCAATTTTTTTATGCGACATATTGGGAAAAACTGATTTGCCCAAATTTATAGAACTTTGTATGGAGACGCCATGTTGGTGCCCATCCGGATAAGCAGCCCACATAGCGGCCGGAAACTAACAAGAACATTGAGTTGTACAACAAAAGCTTGAATTGATCTCTCAAGAAACTCGTAAAGATTAAAGTAATGACATTTTCTAATACAATGACTGTTCAGATATCAAAATTCTACAAAATAAGCCACCTTTAAACCTTCAGAAAGGTTTCAACGAGGTTAACCGTCAGCCGTTAAACGGTCTAAACTTTAACTTTCTACCGTCAAAAAAGGTCTTTTTTTACCGTTAACCGTCAAAAAAAATGCAGATTAATATTAACTGTCATAGAGTTTTCATTATCTCATTATTTCAGCTGATCTTCACAGACTTCTGGCTCCTGAATAATCTCTTCACTGAAAAAACCAGTTCCCATTTTTAAAAAACACTCTCTAGACATTACAAGACCCTACAACTTGCTTATATATGAAAATATATTTCGCAACTTTAAATGTGGAAGGCCAAGACAAGCTCAAAAACAAAATTAATTTCTACAGACGTCAATATTTACTTAAACTCTTGTCATGATCTAAATTTCCACTAAATAACCGTCAGTCATCAAAAGCTCTAAAATTTAACCGTCAACCGTCAAAACTGGAAAAAATAATCGTCAATCGTCAAAGTTGCCACTCCATTCAGACCCTCCTACATGACAGATCTTTCGGCCGCCAAGTAAATGTCGCGTCGCACAAAAGCTTAGAAATTCAAACGCACTGTATCACAAAACGAAGTGCTCTTTTGGAATGAAACTTTGTGTAAATATTAGTTTTTACCTGCTTTAATACGCCATGGAAGTAAACACTCAGGATGATCGATAATTCTTTAGCTTTTGAATTTTGATGTCGTCATGTGGCAACCAAAAATACGTGAATTTGATAGGAAAAGATTTGACAAATAAGTGACAGTTATGACATCTTATTTGTTGATAACAACCAAAAAAAAAAAAAAAGAAATTGAATAAAATCCTTGGTTCAATTCTTTCTTGCTAGACTTCCCGCGTGAGCTTGATGAAGAGGAAGACGACGATGGAAATGTGGAAAATGTTGAGGAAACTTTTGGTAAGTTTGCCACAATACCTCCTGACAGTCATCGTTCGTTTTTTGGTATCAGGCGTCTTGTTCTACACAGATATCCTGATAAAGTTAATTACTTATTAGCTTGTTTATAAACTGTTTCGCGTCTCCTTGTTTGAAATTGGACTGACAAATAATGGAGCCACGCTTCTGTAGTTGTGATAGCTTGGCTTTCGTGATTATTTCCTCTGTTTTTAAACATTTTATTTTCGATCCTTGCTAATTGAAGCAATCAATTCATTCTTAAATCTCTTTTCCTCCTCAGACATGGACAATTTCGAACTGAATTCAAGGAAATTTTCCGAGCAGGAATTCCAATCGCTCGATAGAGGTGAGTTCATCAATGAGAGAAAGATTTTATAGACAGATGCTAGTCTTGTATCTGCTCCTCTCAGGTATTATGTACCGATGATTGAGAATCTCTCTCAAGCGCCATTTTGTATGAACTCTTTCAGACTTGTCTATGTTTTTTTTATGAGACACAGGCGAATGATTACCACAACCAGGTTTGGATTTCGAAAGGAAAACTGCTATACTCTCAAGTAGCTAACACGTGTGTTCCACCATTTCATCCGTATTTTTATTGTTGTTGTTGTTGTTATTCCTGTAGACTTGGGTGCTTCCCATTCAGCAAAAATTTCGGTTTGAAATGTTGCCCAATGGAACGCTACATTCCGGTTACACAAACCCGACCCAAGCCATCTCGCGTTTAATAATAATAATAATAATAATAATAATAATAATAATAATAATAATATTATTATTATTATTATTATTATTATTATTATTATTATTATAAAAGTTAACTATTATTATCGTAAAAAATCTCCCAGAATCCTTTGAGGTATTTTTTTAAAAAGCTTTATAACTGTCAGACCTCAACAAGATAACATTTGCCACAAAATATCTTCCCATGTCATATATAAGGTAATGACGTCATCAATCACCTGGCTATTTCCGAATTAGTTTTTTTCGTTGCTGTGACAAGATTTCATTAATGAGTTAAAAACAAATAGCACATTTTAGGTTTTAGTTGTGTGGGGCATTTAAAAATAACCAGTTAAAATTTAAGGAGGTAATGAACATGAGCGAAAATGTCGCGAGACTAGGCCGAGGGCTGTTGAGAGTCAACCCTTCATCACACGGCAGAGAAAATTTGCGGGAAAGCAATGTTTTACCTGATATTTTTCTTCATGACCAAAAGAGGGACATGATGTGATCAGTCACGAGATCAAAGCGCTTTGAATGTTTTAGTTCGTTTTTAAAGTATCTTTTTTGTCATTAATTAGCACGTTTTTGTTGTTTTTCTCAACAATTCTTTTTACTGTATTGTACTCTGAGCAATTACTGTTCCATTTTCAAAGCAGACCAAACGAAAACTGAACCAGAAGTTTAAAAGTTGCATAAATTGACCGATACTGCAAGTTAAAATCGAACTGTTTGTTTGCCGAAATAAATGTTCAACGTTTGTTAATAAAGGAGAACTTTAAAAACTAAAAGGATGTATTTGGCGGCCATATTGTTTATCATCATTCCGGGGAGAGAGGTCATGTAGCAGCTCTTCTAACCCTAAAAGCCAAATGGTTTGCTTCCCTAACCTAAAAAGAAATGGAAATAATGGTGAACAATGTTGTGTTAATGCTTTCCCCGACCGATGAAAAGCCACCTTACGAGCAGGGAGAGAATCGTACGGTCATACGGTTCAGTCGGTAGTCGCGCGATCGATAGTTCATAAGGGCATCAACGGGTTTATTGTGAGTTTTTCGTCTAGCTTCGATCAGTTAAAGATTTAATTCTACACGGATATTAAAAAACAAAAAAAAACGAAAGAGTCATCCTTGAGAACTGTCAATCACCATAGAGAAGGAATATACACCCCTTTTAAAGTCATATTGTCAGCGTTCACCTAGGTGGTCCGGTGGGTAGAGGCGTCAACTTTTAGTTCTAGATGATTCTGAGGGCCGGATTGGAATCCCCTAGTAGCAAATTTTTCGTAACCTTATTGTTTTTTCTTTTTTTTTAATCTCTTTTTTACCTGTGTGGTGCATATAGCTAGTAACATAATGTGGTAAATTGAAAGCAAAGTTTGCAAGAATTTAAAAATGCGGTATGTATCATAGCGTCAGAGATACGATCTACCAGCGCGGTATTTTTAGTAATACTGGACACTTTTTTCGTTACCTACAATCACAGACAAAAGTAGTTGGGAAGGTTGTACAACTTAACAGTAGTCCATTTTAATCCTGAAAAAAGAGAATTTTCTCTTTTGCTAAATATCCCCCGTTCCCCTATTCAATGTTGGAATATAACAGAACAATTACGCGCACAAACATTAACGTTTTGATCAACATCGGGCCAGGGGCGGGGTAGGAAGAACAAGAAAAGGTAAACAAGGCAACCTTCCCAACACTTTTGATGATGATTGTAGTTCAATGGTCGATTTTCACATGTGCCCAATTGAGATGGGACGTCTGAATCAACTAAATTCCACAGTTTCAAATTAAATACGACTTTGTCGAATCTGCGACTGAAACAGTCGAGAATTCGACTTAGGTTCACCATTTGTTTTAGAAGTCGCATTTCACATGTGCCGAATATGATGCATTAATTATAGAAGCCCTTATCCCTATTGAATAAAAAAAAATTTTGAGACTGGGAACGGAGATAAATTCGGCACTTTCATATCCGACGTCTGAATCAGCAGCCGTATTTAATTACTTTCATCGACTAAAATAGGTGTTCGGCACTCATAAGAAATTCCATGTTTGAAAGTGGCCGAACATGACATAAATGTCAGCTTAGGGGTTTGCAGGCTGTTATTAAGTTGTTGTTTTCTTTTGAGTTAGAGCAATTCGTATATCTCTTTGTAAATCCTTTTTTTAATCGGCTTGTGCCGCGACTTAAGAATTAGCTGTAATAGTTGATTTTACTTTCTCTTTGACATGATTTGTATTTTCATCCACCCTCTGGCATTTCAATAATATATAGATTTAGCCAGGGCTAAAAGCGAGGCTCCCATTAATAAATTTATAATTTAAATTAAATAATAAACTTGTATTCGAATTCCACAATTCAGTTAACTTTAGAGCACATTTATGTGACTTTTGAGGGAAAGGCTACCTGATTTTAGAGAAAAATAATTTGCAAACAGCCCAAGAGTGAACCAAATCTTACATCGAGTTGATAGCCTCATATGTACACCCAAAAACTGGTAATCATCTTCGATCACATTTAAGAGCCATAATGGCTCTTGATCACCGTAGATTAATTAGTGGGAAAAAAAATCAGGCCAACTTTTTTGCGTTCGACAAGTTTACTTTGCAAAATCTTGTCAACAAATCTGGGTGCGTGTAAACCAACCTTTTATACCATTTATACATCACATCTGAGGTGAAACAGTAGTATGAGGCACTGTTTTTATCATACCGGCAGACCTCGGACAGAAAGCAGTATTTCACAATACAAATTGCACTCATTCAATATTCATAAACTGTTAAAAAAATTTCCAAAATCACCTATACGGCCATCCGGTTCTCACTTTTGTAGTGCGAGCTGTGGCGAGTGTTTGAATGAACATTAACAGAGTTACGCTCCAACATTATAAAGAATTTATTCTGTTTATTTTTTATTTAATGGTTTATTAACGCGCGGCATTTTGAGTACTCCTGCAAGCGATGTTCACTGAACGACTGAAAACAATCGGCACAGCGATTAAAATTACAAGAGAGACTACTAACAATCAATAAAAGAAATATAATTCGGTGAAACATATACAGAAACAACAATTTTCATTCAGGAAGACAAGTATTAAAGTATCCCTAAAAATCCTGAGTCTTCAAGCTTCAAGCTTAAGTTTATGTTTTAAGCCGGCTTCCCGGTGTTTGCTTTTTTCAAAGACGAACTCGAGGCAAGAAAATCGCTCAAAGCTTTCTTTTCCGGCCAGAATTATAACTAAATATTCTTTGGAACGTTTTCTTTCTATTTGCGGTGAGAAACTGTCTAAAGGCTTTTTAAAGTTCTGTAAGCTTATATCAAACCTGATACTCGGTCAGATCATTGTCTCAAATCTTACAAACGTGCATAAACTAAATGACCGCATAAACTCCGCTCGACTTCATTAAATTAGATCCAAAAAAACAAACATCAAATACAATAATTTCTCTGGCTTACCATTCGAGATGCAGCTCCTGAAAGGTATCAAGAAAAGCCAGTATCGCTTCAGACTTTGCAATCCTCTTACGCATCAAGCAAGGTGAAAACGAAAACGATGCCATCCGAAATCGGATTTCCGACTTTGACAAGCGACGTATTCCTCAACCAAAAACCCAATAAACAAACTAGCCATGAATAACAGAGGACTCCTGATAGCAGCTGAATTTCATTTTGCACATCCAGTGGAAAAAGACAGTTAAAAACATCACAAGTTGACACAAAACTCTGTCAGCTTCAGCTGTCAAAGTAAACAAGATTCAAGATGCTGCATAAATTTTCCGCATGAACTCACCTGTCAAATTTTGACCAATCAGAGCATAAAAATTGGACGTAGAGCGTGACCAACGCGTGACCATGATGAGAAAAGTCAAAAGCAACTGTCTTCCCTGCCTGTAACAGCTGGCTGAATTTTCGCGTCCGAGGTCAGTTTGCAATCAAAATTTTAATTGTGTAGCACATAAACACAACATATTTCATATGAATTTAGAAAAAACTTGAACTTGAGCCTGCGATCACTTGAAAACTAGGAACTTGTCAGCGGATAACTTCAAAAAAATACTTGACCTCGATGGGTCGACACCTGAGCCCGCGATACGGTCAAGTGATACTGGTCAGCGGGTACCCTCTTTTGACAGCTGTCAATTGATCAAAACATTGATGTCCAATATGTGTGCATTAGAGTGGTTTTCGTTTGAGTGTCGTAAAACCAAAACCAAAGTAATTACTCTGGCCAATCACATAGGACACAGACAATACATTGAACCAATCAAAACTCGAAGTAATTACATGTGGCTGACGCAAAGCGCGGGAAAATGCATGCGAGCGCGTCACAATTGGCTTTGGTTTTACTTCTGATTGGATGAGAAGGTGGCGCGAATCTTTTAAGCCAATCGCATCGTGTAGAAAGTGCAAAACCAATTACTTTTCGACACTCAAATGAAAACCGCTCTATCAGTTTAACTAGTAAAAGTATGAGATTGAACATTGTTCGCGATCTAGTAAAACAATTAACTGGTCAGCGGACAGCTTCCAAATAAATCACGTCACCTCGATGAGTTGACACATGAGCCCGCGATATGGTCATGGGATACTGGTCAGTGGCTATCCTCTTTTGACAG